TTTGCAGAATCCCAAAATTGAGAAAGCAGAAATTTTGGACTTGACTGTGGAATATCTTCACAAGTGGACAGATGGCAAGAAAATGAGCAATGGTTAGTCACACAATGTGATATATCCTCTAGGCCAGTGTTTCCCAACCTCCATTGAGCTGAAGTGGACTACATACCGGTAGTTTCTTTGAAAATTCTTATGGCACACCACCAAGCAAAATTGAGGCGGAAGAGAGAGACAAGTGGATACACAGATTAATGAAATACCTTCCGCCATGTCGTGGAAGAGCATTTAATTGTTCTGCTTGTCACCATATATCACTACTAAAGATAGATGATGATTTACGCGGCACATTGGTTGGGAATCACTGATCTAGTCATGTTCATGTCAACCTTTGCAACACCTAATGAGGGAACCGCTCCCTCTGTATCCACCAGATGCTCCCAGTGGTGTGGTAAGTTTCGACCCGAGTGGCCCCCCTTGCTTTACCGTTGAGGGTGCAGGTTTTCGGCAGTGTATGTGGCAAATGGCCAGCTATATGCATAAGATGCCGGCGTTGCAGCGAGCCGGCTTAATGGAAGGGCTGAAGCACCATGCGGAGAAGCATCGGGCCGAACAGCAGCCTTCGTTCAACTCCCGCACGACACTGACGGATGCGGCGTCAGCGGAGGTCATTAGCACATCTGAGATTCAAGATTCCCACAACGCTCTGCTCCTCTCGCATTCCCCGCCTCAGCCTCATGGTTGCTCCACTCCGCTCCATTCTCCTCCCACCTCCCCCTGGTTCTCCACATTTTCTTCCTCCTCTCCTCCTTTCCCCTCGTTCGCCTGTCACTTCTCCTTTTCTCCCAGCCTGTCACCTCTGTCGGCCAACACCTCTTTTTCCTCCCTGCCGCACTCCCTTCACGCTCTGCCCGCCCACGTGACTTCCTCCTCCTCCTCGCCCACGTTGGCTCAGCAGGCAGGCCCGACGGTCTTCCACTACCCCTCGGTTACCTCGTCGAGGTCCCCTCCGCTCCCCACTCAGTCACAGAAGTCATCCGCACTCACGTGGAGACCCTGGTTCTGAAGTGTGGCGCCCTCTAGTGATGAGTGACTGGAACCCCAGTATGCCTGCAAATGGACAGTGTAAATACACGATGAAATGACTACTATTTTGGAATTCCCTTGTAAATAAAT